GGACCACACCTGGGGGGCACGGAGCCTGAGCAGATCGCCCACCAAGCCCCACTCACTCCTACCGTCCCCATCCCACCCCAAGCCTCTGAGCCCAAGGAAAACCCCTCTGGAGGCAGGACCCTTCCAGAGTGTTGAGTGCTGCAGCCCGCCCTCTCCCATGCACTGTGGCCAGCCCAGCTCCGAGGAGACCGTCCATGCAGCCTGGCTCAGCAACCTCCTCCTGGTACCTTGCTCTTGATGAACTGCGCAAGGGGACCCTTGCCCAGCTCCGAGCTGGATTTCTCCGTCACGCTAAGTGATGGTGCCATCATCTGCCCAGCCGTGCGGTCGACATAGATGAAGTGCACCAGGCCAGGAAAGTCCTCCAGGTATGTAGGGCCAGTTAAGGGCATCCAACAACCTTGGTGTTCTTCCAGGAAAGACCTCAAGCTGTGGAAACCACCTCTGCCCACTCGACTCCCTCCCTTGTGCCTCGCACCAGGAGGACAGGGCTCTCCTATTCCCACCTCTGCCCTCCCTTGTGGGGGTTTCCCCCCTGGGCCGCGCTCCCAGCCCACCCCGGTGCCGGGATGGATATGACACCATGGTGATATTGCGCCTGCTCTTCACCAGCAGAAAATCCCTCCAGTCCAGCAGCTTCTCCCTGCAGAGAAGGGGTGCAGTGAGAGGCAGACCCTGGGGGTGCAATGGAGGTGATGGGTGCCCCTGCACCCACCTCATCAGCTTCTGGGCACGGTCCCGCAGGCCCTGGGACAGGCTCTGGCTGGCGGAGGTCAGGAAGAGCTGGCGATACAGAGAGCAGAGCTGCCGCTTCACGTTGGCCAGCGCCTGCAGCACCCTGAGACGGAGACAAGGACAGAGATGGGTCTGGCCTCACTGCACCTTGGGACCCTCCGGCACTGCAGGGACAGCCCCTCCGGTCCCGCTGGGATGGAAAAGACCCTCGCCTACCCCCAAGGCTCCAGCCTCCCCTGGCCGCCCTGTACTCACTCCAGCAAGCTCCCAGGCTCGCTCCGCGGGAATATCTTGTTCTTGAACTCCATCCAGGCGTTCTGCAACTAGACAGGGATACGGCTCAGCGCCTGTCTGTGGCAACAGCAGGACCGGGTCCTGGCAGCCCCACTCCCACCTGGATGTCCTGCCCGCTCAGCTTCTTCACAAACTTGTCCATGCGCTGCCGCAGCTCTGTCAGGAAGGGGAAGGCACGTGCCGCTCCCACCTCCTGCCCCTCTTCCAGCTTCTTTTCCAGCACCAAGAAACCATCGAGCAGCTGGTGCATGGTGACAGCCACATGGGTCATGGGGCCCTGCCGAGGGAGTGACGGGTCAGCTAGGACACAGCCCTGCCGCGCTCCCCTACCTTAGAGCCAGCTCACCTTGCTCAGCAGCACGAGTGAGATGCCCGGCCAGAGCGGGAGGCAGTGCATGGTGTGGGGCAGCATGGGGCAGTAGCCTTCCGGCAGGTTGGCATCCAGGAAAACCCTTCTGGGGTTTGAAGCCTCAGGAACCAGAGGTCCCGAAGTCTGGAGCAAGTCCTCTGCCATCTGGGGAGAGAGGAGAGCTGCTCATCCCCCTTGCCTGGACAAGACACCAATCCAGGACCTTTGGGAGGGTTGTGGAGGTGGTAGCAATGCCCTGAAAGCTGCAACTAGGCACAATGGAATGGATGGAGCTGGAAGGACCATGCAGCAAGACAGCATTGAGGGAGGCACTCGGGAACCCCCAAAAAGCAACAGATGGAGGGTAAGCCTGCAAAGACACAGCTGGTAAATGCCTTGGCTAGTGGAGTCTCTGTGAGCTTCCACAGCATCAGGCAAGGTAGCAGCCCAGAAGCCCGCAGAGCAGCAGACGGAGACACTAGACTGCACTGAGACAGACTCAACCCCCTGTGCTGCTAGCAGGCCTGGCTGGGACCCCGACCCCTGCTTGGACACTACCCCATAGAGAGCACCCCAGTGACAGCGAGATGCACGAAACCAGATGCAGTGTGGCATCTCCTCAGCCTAGGGGCAGGGGCATTCCCAGCACAGCAAGGGATCCGTAACGGGAGCAGAGACAGCAAAGCACAGGAGGAGGGACAGGGAAGAGGCATATGCAGGAAGGGACAGCAGCACCCCTTGCTCACCTGGACATCAGCACTGTCCACCTCTCCGGTGCTTGGTGTCTCGGGGCCCTCTGACCAGCTCTCGCTGCCTGCAGGAGCACAGCGAGCGTGGTCCTGGCACCAGCGGATGCTCAGGCTCCCTCCCAGCGCCCCACGCAGCCCCTGGCCCTCCGCAGGGCACAGCTCCTGCCCGGCCGGGCACTCACCCGTGCTGTGCCCACCCGGAGAGGGCTTGGGCGTGTAGAACACCTCGGGTGCGGAGAGGTCGTCCGTGTCCTGCCAGTGAGAAAGCCTGACTGAGCCAGGACTGCAGCCGGGACTCTGCAGGGGGAACCGAGGTACCCCCGATCCCAAAACTCGTGGTGCTGGGGACATCTACCCATGCACACCTGATCATCTGACTCCTTCCCTGCGGTCACAAGGGAGCTGGTGCTGCTCACGGGGATGCTCTCGCTTCTTTGGGGTACCTGCAGGAATATCTTCCCTGCTGCAGGCTTCCAAGAAGAGAAAACCATCAAGCCACAGTCCCCAAGACATCAGTTCCCTCCCCAGCCCCTGCTCTGGAGCACCTGGGGGCCAAGCTCCTCCTCGGCGCTCTGGCTGGGGTACAGGTCCTGCACGAGGAGGATGAGGACGAGCAGGTCGGCGGGACGGATGGCGCTGGCGTTGC